TACCTCTTCTGATTTGTTATTCGTCTCCTACGAAAATGGGTCGCCTTGTATTGGATTGATATCATTTTCCTTCCTTCGTTTCAAAGATTGGTTTTTCTTCTTCTTCCATTTGACTAGTTTCTGAAGAGTTTCGAGGTTGGATCGTTGTCATGTCTAGTCCGAGAAGTAACAAGCCGAAGGTCGTCAACGGTCCTGGTGGTTATATACTACAGGACGTTCCTCATCTCATCGATTATCTTCCGGATCTTCCGGTACGTTGCCACTTGATCTCTGATTGTTTGATGAATTGATTTGAAGGAATATTCTTCGATCTATACAAAAGAGATCGAATTTGATATTGTTTAGTAATAAAGGAGGAATCTTTTTTGCTTTGTGTTCTAGTGTTTGATCTTGTTCATGGTTGTTAATGGTTCGATTGTTTTCTCGTTTTGATGTTTTTGCAGACTTATCCAAATCCATTGCAAGACAATCCAGCTTACTCAGTGGTTAAGTAAGTTATTTTTTTTTTTTCACATATTTCAGATGTTTCAATTGCGTAGGCTTCCTACTTTTGACTTTGTTTTCATGAGTTTTGTTTTATCAGGCAATACTTTGTTGATGCAGATGATAGTGTTCCTGAGAAGGTAAATATATCTAGCATAATCATATTATTTACTCTTGAGTTGTTTGAAGAATGGTGCTAGATGATTATGTATTACTTTTGGAAACTGAGTATTCATAAAAAGTGTTTTCTTGTTCTTTTCTCTGTTATTCAGATTGTAGTCCACAAGGATGGTCCAAGAGGAATCCATTTCAGACGTGCTGGTCCACGCCAAAAGGTTTACTTTGAGTCTGATGAAGTGCATGCCTGCATAGTTACATGTGGAGGTCTTTGTCCCGGTCTCAACACCGTGATTAGAGAAATCGTGAGCAGCTTATCATATATGTATGGAGTAAAGAGAATTCTTGGGATCGATGTAAGTTTTGTGAATCACAATCAGTTTCTTCATTTACAGTTTGATTTTTCCAACGTTGACCTTATATAAGTCTCATTTGTTGAAATCTTACAGGGTGGATACAGAGGATTCTATGCTAAAAATACTATCCCCTTAAACTCTAAAGTCGTGAATGATATCCATAAACGTGGAGGAACAATCCTTGGGACCTCAAGAGGTGGACACGATACTACGAAAATAGTTGATAGCATTCAAGATCGAGGAATCAATCAGGTTCGCAAAGAAACACAGCCACTGTTTTTGCTTTGTATGTAGAGAAGTTTGTCAACATGTTCTTGATGTAGTTTCTGTTATCATTTAGGTTTACATTATTGGAGGAGATGGAACCCAGCGAGGAGCTTCAGTATTATTTGAGGTAAACATTGTGATATTTCAGGAGAATAGTTATAAGTTTTAACATTCACCAACTGAACTTAGATTGTATAAAATCGTGTAGGAAATTAGAAGGCGTGGACTTAAAGTTGCTGTGGTTGGAATTCCGAAAACAATTGATAACGATATTCCGGTAATAGACAAATCTTTTGGGTTTGATACTGCTGTGGAGGAAGCTCAACGAGCGATTAACGCAGCACATGTTGAATCCGAGAGTAATGAGAATGGTATCGGTTTTGTCAAGCTTATGGGTCGTTACAGCGGTAAGTTTTTGTTTTGAAACATGCAACTTAAAACTTTTTCGAGCTGTTGCTGATTATGGCTATGCGATGATTATTACTGCAGGTTTCATAGCGATGTATGCCACATTAGCCAGTAGAGATGTTGATTGTTGCTTGATTCCTGAGTCACCTTTTTACCTCGAAGGAGAAGGCGGACTCTTTGAGTTCATTGAGAAACGGCTCAAGGAGCATGGTCACATGGTGATTGTTCTTGCTGAAGGAGCAGGACAGGATCTGATGTCCAAAAGCATGGAATCCACGACTCTTAAGGACGCTTCTGGTAACAAACTTCTTAAAGATGTCGGCTTGTGGCTATCACAAAGCATCAAGGTAAAAAGAAAAGACTTTAAAGTTTCTCTTATGCCATTACAAAAAAAAAACGTCATTGTAATGCTTTTACGTTTCTTTGGTTGTAGGATCATTTTAATAAGATTAAGATGGTGATGAATCTCAAATACATTGGTACAAAATAATTATCCTTTTTCCCGATTTTGCAATTATTCGGATATACATGCTTTTTAAACTCAGTTCTGGTATTTCGCTTCCAGATCCTACATACATGATCCGGGCTGTTCCAAGTAATGCATCAGACAACGTTTACTGTACACTTCTCGCTCAGAGCGCGGTTCATGGTGCAATGGCTGGTTACACTGGCTACACCAGTGGTCTTGTCAATGGAAGACAAACATACATCCCTTACTACGTAAGTTACTGATAACGATCAAATGTGTTTTTCGCTTTTCAATCCGAGTTTTTGACTTGTGGGGATGATCAGAATCGTGATTAACGCCGTTGCATTGCGCTAATCTGGCCAGTGGTCTTGCGAGATGGTCTTTGATGACTCTGATCTTTTGGTCCTAAAGTGATGACCAATTCTGAATTGTGTCATGTTGTTGCAGAGGATAACAGAGAAACAGAACAATGTGGTGATTACGGATAGAATGTGGGCGAGGCTATTGTCTTCTACGAATCAGCCGAGTTTCTTGGGACCTAAGGATATAGCTGAAGAGAAGAAAGAGATGCCGGAGACGCCGCTTCTTGATGGTGACGGAGCTGCCGATATTCCTCCGGTGACTAAAGAGATAACTAAGTGAAGTTTCAGGGCAAATATATATAACTCTCAGGGGTTTCCGAAAACGACGCCGTTTTCGGCGAAAGTGAAATAATTGTTTATTTTGCCCTTTTGTTGGCATACACAATGTTTAGTTTTGTATTTCTTTTTGCAGCTTCCACTTCATATGATGAATGAAAGTAATCTTCTTTCAATTTTCTCCCCTTTGTATCTTATTTGTTGTTTATGATTTTTGCACATAATTATAAATAAATTAGGAGGACAAAAACAAAAGGATTAAGAGAGATTTGCATAAATGGCAGGCAATAGAGAAAGCTTCTAATGGTGATAGAAAACAAATTGTCTAAACTCAAAACGAGATTAGTTTAATAATTCTAATTCACTAATACACCATAATCTCGAAAATTTTAGAAAATAAGAGAACGAAATATATTATTTTTAATGGCTCCAGCCTTGTGCAATGCTACATATTTAATCACAAAAAAATG